CTTTGACAAACATGGATGCCTCCAGTAAAGCACATTTAAATGAAAATTACTCTTAATTAAAAACACTTATCATTTATTGAACAGTACGTAATAATTTCATATTAAAGTGTTTTCAAAAGTTTGTGACAATTTCAGGCAGGAATAGGTCAAACATGGAATTAGGTGCTGTGGTTAAATGGAAGAAAACGAACACTCTTCGTCGCCCTGAGACACTGCTCTGTTGTGGAACCATATGTGGCTCCGTCAAGCTGTGGGGATGATTGTCTGATGATGGCATGGAATATATAGAGAAGACGTTTGAGTTAATAACAAAGCAAAGTTGAAAGAAAAAGTTAGAGGCTGTAAATACTCGGGAGTTTGGTGAAGATTCTCATTCATTCAAGTTGGGACAATGACCCCACATCCACAGCTAGAGATCTAATCGAAGGGTTTAGATGAGAATATAAATTTATCTGATTGGCTCAATGAGAGAAAGTGCGAGTGAAAATTGGTATTTTTCATGCCACTCTTATTTCACGGTACACCACAGTGTGAACAGGTTTTCTGAAAGCAGCAGCTTTTTCAAGATGCCTGATGGGTTAAACATTAGCATAACAGCAGCTCTGCTCCTTCTTCTTGTGTTACAAACAACAGATGCATATTTTCACCTATTGTACAAGTTGGTGTGACATGGCAGAAACACAAGAATATTATGCCACCAGACAGAAGTGGCATGTCAGTATAGCTGCATTATGCCACTTTTTAAAACTGCTAAATTTAGGGCTGAAACAATTAATCCTGATTAATTGGTTATAGAATTAATCGGCATCTTATTCAGTAATCGAATAATGGTTAACTGCAATATACAGACTAAAACATGCCTTTAGCTGACAGAGAAAGCCACTTAATTGTACTGAATTGGAAAAATATATATATTTTGACAAAAAATGTTGTCAAAATGCTCTATCCAGAACTCCTTAAGTGGAAAAGTTTCATCTTTCATCTGTTTTAAATTAAGCAAAAAAATCTTCTTTAAGGAATCTTTTGCTAGCCGATTACTGATCAATTTATGAAAAAAAAAACAAAAAAACGTATGGATTTAATCTTTAGTTGCAGCTTTAGCCTCTTTTATAATTGGCATACCAGTTTGAAAAGTGGCATATGCCTTTGGTGAAAGTGGCATAGTTGAGAGCTTAACACAAAGACTTGAAACTTGTTCCTGTCTTAATCTGATCAGACTGAGTTTCAGCTCTTTGGTAGGGATGCACGATATAATCGG